AGATAGATAGATAGATAGATAGATAGATAGATAGATAGATAGATAGATGGGGGGAGGAAGTGTCTGAGGAATTAAAACAAACTTAAGCGCCAGTCCAAACTCAATCACCTTGTGCTGGCGACAGGCAAGGGCTTTTCCCTATCAAAGAAACTGAAGGTCAGCCTTCTCCTCATTGATCTTGCAATGTTTGTTAATTACTCTGTCACTGATGTGGCGAAGGATAATTAAACAGCTCTGTTTATATCTTATATGCATAATTATGAGCGTTGCCAGTGAACTCGCGGAGGCTGGAGAAGAGGGAAAAGGGGGAACAGATGAAGGGAGATGGAGTTTTCGGCGGCGTTATTAAACGGGAGTGCGAGGGGAGGGAGGGCAAAACGTGGACAGCCAACCTCCACTCTCCCACCCTGCCAAACCGGGCGCACAAAAGGGAGAATTTTTTTTGACGGATCATCGGGCCAGATCCTGGGGAAGCTCGTCAAGAGATGCGAGGAGGAAGGGTGAAGTGTCGAGCGAAGTTATTAAACCTGAAGGGGAGTTAAGACTTCATTTGGAAGATGCCCTTCTGCTTAGAGGGCGGGGTAAAAGACCTCTGGAAACGCAACGGTAAATTGGTAAATTGCTACGCGCTCTGCAGCTGCTTCCCAATCCCCCCTCCCCATTTTTAAAAATCCTTTTCCTTTGTAATAGTGGTTTTTTTTGTTTTTTGGATCTCCTTGTGCCCAAGCCCACCTGAGCGCAATAGGAGTGACACCAAAGATTTAGTGGGTACACCACAGACAAGTGGGGACGCGCATACACTAGACTGGCATCCCAAATCCCTTTCAAATCCCTAAAACATTAAAGAGTTTGGAATCTCCCACTGCCTGGCCCTCGCGATATATGGATGGCAGAATTTGGCTCTGGGTTTGGCAACGCCACCCACTACCCCGCTCTTGATGGGGGTCCCCAACCCCCAGGTCGAAGCCCAACCGCCTGTTTGAAACTGGGCCGCACGAGCCCTGGGCAAATGTGCGTGTGAAGCTCCACCCGTGCGAGAGGCGGGCCCTTGTGCTCACCCCCAAAGCTTCATTTGGGAGGGCGCTCGCGTGAGTGGAACAAGCATTTGCACCAACGAGAGCTTCTGCACCAAAGACAAATTCCTTGTATATCCAATCACACTTGGCCAATAAAGAATTCTATTCTGTTCTATTCTTATCCTACCCTACCCTATCCCTGTCTGTTCTGTTCTGTTCTGTTCTATGCCATGCCATGCCATTCCTATTCCTGTCCTGTCCTATTCTATCCTATTCCTATTCCTATTCCCATTCCTTTCCATTCCATTCCATTCTACTCCATTCCATTCCAATTCCAATTCCATTTCCATTCTATTACTATTCTATTCACAAATAGAATAGAAGTGAATAGAATGGAGCTTCACACAGGAGTGCAAGCTCTATTGGTGCAAGCAGGGTGTGTGTGTGCATGCCCCTGCCACTCACACCAATGCAGCTGTGTGCACTCATTCCTGCCACTCACTCACTCACCCACACACATACACACACACACACCCTTGAGCTAAGCTGGGCCGCCAATGGTCAATGTCTGGAATACTCTTCCTGACTCTGTGGTTTCTTCCCCAAACCCCAAAAACTTTAACCTTAGACTGTCTACTATTGACCTCACCCCTTTGCTAAGAGGGGGGGCATGCATAAGTGCACCAACGTGCCTACCATCCCTGTCCTATTGTTTCTTTGTATTTTTCTTATAGGTATCCATTCCATATATTCATAACTATGTTTATACTTATACATATTATCTTGTAAGCGATTGACAAATCAAATAAATAAATAAATAAATAAATAAATAAATAAAGAAAGAAAGAAAGAAAGAAAGAAAGAAAGAAAGGAAGGAAGGAAGGAAGGAAGATGGAAAGGTTGGGGACGGCTGTGTTAGACTAAAAGGAGTTTTCGGCTTAAAAAAGCTTGTTGAGTGACCATTGAAAGTTACAACGGCGGTGAAAAAAGTGACTTAAGACTGTTTTTCAGAGTTACAACCTTTGTAGCATTCTCCAAAGTCATGTGACCTAAATTCGGACGCTTGGCAACCGGTTCAAATTTATGACCGTTGCTGTGTCCCAAGGTCATATAATCCCCTTTAGATTAGATTAACGGAGTTGGAAGGGACCTTGTAGGTCATCTAGTCCAACCCCCTGCCCAAAAAGGAGTCCCTATACCATTTCTGACAAATGGCAGTCCAGTCTCTTCTTGAAAGCTTCCAGTGATTATGAAGCTCCCACAACTTCGGAAGGCAACTTCCGTTCCGCTGGTTAATTGCTCTCCCTGTCAGAAAGTTTCTCCTTATTTCCAGGTTGAATCTCTCCTTGGTCAGTTTCCATCCATTGGTCCTTGTCTGGCCTTCGGGGGCCTTTTGCCACCTTCTAAGAAGCAAAGTCAGTGGGGAAGCCAGATACGCTTCACAATCGGGTTACTAACGTATCAACTGTGGTGATTCCCTTAACAATGGAGGCAAGAAAGGTCGTAAAAACAGGGCAAAATTCACTTAACCCATATCTCACTTAACAACGGTAACTTTGGGCTCCATTGTGGTCATTAAGTGGAGGAAACTAATGGCAGAAACCTTTGTAGAGCTCTCCAACAGGAGAAGTGGGAAATTCCTACGCTGAATTTTGCATTATTAAAAAGGAGCGTTCCAACATTTCTCCCTTTGCCTGCCTTTGCAATGCTGCGCCGCTACACTTAATGGAAGTTACTGATTCAATTAGTGCTCCCTCTCCAAACTCACCCACTGAACGGTTCCTTCTGGCTTAAGAATCTCCCTTCCGGTTTCGCCCGATATCTAGATTATACAGACTCCAAACGAGGTGGTCGGTTTAAAGCCGGAGGAATTTGAACGCGGGGGCACCGTGCCACCTATGGGAAATGAAGGAAATCTTCCTTGCCTGTGGAAGGGTTGAGTGGGCATCCTTTTTTTTTTTTCCCCAAGCAAGAATTGGTGGTTATTTCAAAGAAGGAGGGGGAAAAAAATCCAAAATCCAGGCTGAAAGAGTAAAGAAAGGTTTGCTGAAGGAATTGTGCAACTTAAGAAAGGGGGGAAAGGAGAAAAGAAGACTAAAGAATAGGAGTTGCTGCTGTTTGATATTATTATTATTATTATTTTAAATTTTCTTTAAGTCCTGCCTTTATGTATTGGACATGATAATGTCCCAGGCAGCCAAATCCTACTGGACAAGGTAGGCATCGCACAAGCTAATCTGACTCGGCTCACCAACAGTTTTTCCTCCTTCTTTTCACCTTACAAAGACCGACTGTCCGGTAGCTGCAGCACCCAAAAGCAGGGGTCTTCCAACTTGGCAGCTTTAAGATTTGTGGACTTCAACTCCCAGAATTCCTCTTCCGGTCATGTTAGCTCAGGAATTCTGGGAGTTGAAGTCCACAAGTCTTAAACTTCCCAAGTTTGAAGACCCCTGCCCAAAAGCATCAGAGAAAGCAGGTGGGGCACATACGTGAAGGTTGCAACAATAAGAAAAGGAGGCAGGTCACAGTATTCCTTTCCGCTGCAAATCCATGTATTATTGATTCGGTTTATTTTAATTCACCATTTTGTACCTGTATTCGCCGTTATTACAGTCCCATTATCCTTAGTTTAGCAGTTGCTATTAGCGTTTTAAATAATTCTGAATAATATGTATTTAAAGTTTGGGCCTTTTAAATAATATATCGGAATTGTCCTCATTTATTATATATGCCCAAGGTAGCACTGACTGTTCTTAATGGCGCGTTTTACCCACATTTCGTCACCCCATTTTAAATATACACCCAATTGTGTTTGTTTAAAGGGGGTACTGCCTAGGTTAGTGTGTGTGTGTGTGTGTGTGTGTGTGTGTGTGTGTGTGTGTGTGTGTGTGTGTTTGTGTGTGTGTGTGTATGTAATTCAAGGCTGGGCTGGGGTCTTCCAGTTCCTGAAAAGATACTGAACTGCTTTAAAGGGGCTAAAAGCTATTGGGATGAGGTCAGCCCACCACCATCTTGCAAATCAGGGGAAAAGATCTTCAAATCTTCACCTTCTAGACCAGGGGTGTCAAACTCAAGGCCTGAACCCCAGATCTAGCCCACGGGGTGCTTAGGCCACCTTGGAAAGAGCAAAGGACCGGCCCGCGGTGCCTCTGCCAGCAAAAACAGAGCGCCTCTCCCAGCCTCCGTTTTCAGCTGGGACGGAGCTTGTCTGGGACCCTCCGAGTTCCGTTTTCGCTGGCAGAAGGCTGCAAGAGGCCATCCTGGCCAAAAAAAAACGGAGCCCCGGGAGTGGGGGGCCCTACATGGGCCCCCCCAAGCTCTGATTTTGCTGGCAGAGGGCCATGCCCACCTCATCCTATCCATGTCTCCCCCCAGGGCGCCCGAGGTCGAACACAACCCTGACGCGGCCCTCAGTGAAATCGAATTTCATAACCCTGTTCTAGATTTCTAAAAAGCAGGCAACTGACCACTATTCCATGCACACAAAAAAACCCTGCTCCCATCAAGGAGATTGTCCCAGGCTTTCTGGAAAGGTCCCGAACTTGGAAAGGTCCCGACCTCCATGCCACCACGCACGGCCCGTCTCACCTGTAGAAGCTCCTCCGCTGAGCTTGGAGCTGGCTTCACTGTTGGAGGCCCGAAAGCTTTCGTCCTTCAGGGGAGGCCCGTCGGAATCTCGGTCGTCCACGAAGCTGCCATCTTGGGAGTCCTTGGCGGGCTGCTCAGCTTCGTCCCCGTTATCCTCATCATCGCTGCAACCTTTTGGCTGCACCATGTAGACCCCCTCGGGGGGCACCTCCGTCCCCTCGGGGGCCTTGGGTTCCTTGCTCTCGATGCGCCCCAGCAAGGGGTCTTCGCTGTACTCGCCGTTGACCCACTTCTCGATCACTTCCCTCCGCTTGTCCTCTTCGATCTTTGTCCCCTCCGAAAATTTTGGGCCCGGCTCCTTGGCCACAGCCTGAGCGACGTCCTTGGGGGCGGCCGTCTCGCCGCCAGCGCTTTCCCACCCAAGGGGAGCTTTGTCGACATGTCCCTGCTCCGGTGCTTTGTGCTCAACGACTACCTGACGGCTGAGCTTGGCACAAATTGCATTTAATTTCAGGCCACCTTTGCGCTTGGCAGCCATCTTGGGGTTTCCTGAGGTTGTGTCAGTGCATATACTTCTTTCAGCTGGAAGAAGGGGCAGCGGGGGGAGAGAGAGAGAGAAATAAAATGAATATTAGCAGAGGTTTATTAATTGTTCTATCCCACGCATGTATAAATGGACTTTTCTGAGGCAACAGGCTCAAAATAATGACAACAACCTATACACAGAACACAGGTCTGTGGAGATTCTCAGTCATCCAGGTTATGAATGTCCCAAAGGTGCTTTTTTTTTTTCTCAAGAGGCCATTTTGTTTTTCTTTGAAGACGTTTCACTTCTCATTAAAAGCAGCTTCTTCAGCAGCTCTGACTGGATGGCGGGGAATGGAAAGATTCCCTCAGGGTGAACACACAGATAAACCTCCAAGGGCCTCTAAAAAGGATGCAAATGACCAGCTGTCTGCAAGGAGCATAAATCCTTCCCTTCTGCACCATCCAGTCAGAGCTGAAGAAGTTTCTTGGATGAGAAGCAAAAAATCTTCAAAAGAAAAAAACAAGAAAGTCCAGTGACTTGGGGGAAAAAGCACCTTTGGTGTAATAAACACAGCAAATATTGTAGATATTTGGGGGGGAAAAAACTGCCTTGGATAACCCAACCACTTGTCCAGTTTGTTCAGAAAAGGGAGGAGAAAAAAAACAACCCCAAAGTATTTCAAAGGTTAATTTGAAGTGAGTTCAAAACCTCTGGGCACCAACACTTTGGAGGCCCCGTCTCATAAAACCTCACTGATTTTGCACAGCATTTGTGCCTTTTTCTTGTTCAACAATCTGACTCTCAAGAATAAGGACTTGCTAAAGCTGCCAGTACATTTCCTAGCTGAGCGAGAGACATACAACAGTTCATTTAATGACCATTCAAAGTTACAACGGCACTAAAAAAAAAAGTGACTGATGACTGTTTTTTCACACTTACAGCATCTTCATGGTCACGTGATCAAAATTCAGACATCTGGCAACTGACTCATATTTATGACGGGCAAAGTCAATGGGGAAGCCAGATTCACTTAACAACCAGGTTACTAACTTAACAACTGCTGAGCAATCACCTAACAATTGTGGAACGAAAGGTCGTAAAATGGGGGCAAACTCACTTAGCGGCAGAAATTGTGGACTCCACTGTGGTCGTTAAGTCGAGGACCACCTGTAGAGGTTTGATAAAATGAAGGAACCACCTCTTTAATAAAGCCGTGTCAGGGTGCTGTCTCAACGACGCCCTAACAGATAATCAGAGTTGGAAGGGACCTTGTAGGTCATCTAGTCCAACCCCTTCTCTTTTTCCTGCCACTAATTTATTCTGTGTGGCCAAGACATAATTTTCCCCATTTGTGGGAAAAACAAAGATAATCTCCTCATGCTTGTCTTTTCACAAAACAACAGACACCTCTCTCTTTTAAGGTAGGAATTGGAGATGAAGATCCGCAACACGAATGGTCTCTAACCCTCACCTTCGCACATTTTTATTTTTACTTTTATAGTAATTCTCTTGTGCAATTTCTTATTTCAGAGGTTTTGTCTGGAAGTTAGTTGCCCGGAGTGGCTTGAGCTAGATGTTCTGACCTAGGCTTCCCAAGATCATGAAGCAGACTCGTCATCCCGATAAAGCCCCTTTCACTCCTCTTTATTCCCTATGGGAGGGGCCATTCACCGTCCACCTGTGGCTTTACTCCCGAATCGACCCAGGTTCCTTAACTGTTCCCTTCTCCTGGCAGCTCTGTGCATGCGCACACTGGGTACAGGCTCCAGCTGTTCTTCTGCCCCACTGATTTCCAAATTCCGAAGGCAGCTGATAACTGTCAAACGGCCCTGGCCCCATCTCTGCCTCTTCAATAAGATCCCTCGTCAGAGCCTTCTCCAGACTCCAGGAACTGGCCCATGTTCCTCCGCAACCTCCTCACTGGCACTCTGCTGCCAGCTCCGCTGGCCGCTGGCGGGCCATAACACTAAGCAAGATATATCTACTAACAAAATGAACCAAATTAGAATGACACTTGGTTGGGTTTCATTCCAGAGACTCCGGGCCTTTCCTTAGCTTCTGCCCATGTACCGCACCCCGCCATCCAGCCCCTGGTATCTTTCTCACTTAAGCCCTGAGAGGTGGGCACAGCATGCCATCCGCCCGAGCCCTGGTGGTGCACCCAGAAGCCTCTATGTCTTCCCCCCTCAAGTGCTTCAGCCTGACAGCCCAACCGAACAGCCTGAAACTTCAAAATGACCAATTGTCAGCAAGTGGCTGCTTAGCAGGCTCTGGGCACCATTTCCCAGGAAAAGCGACAGAGAAGCGAGCGACAGCCGCTGGCCGCTGGCCAATTCACAAAAGTGACAGCAAGGAGCAAATGCCCCTTAAAACCTTCCTTCCTGGGCATCAAGTGATGCTACCTCCTACATTCCAGTGTAAGATCCTTTTTCCATCCCGTGCCACACCTAATAACCTTGAACCAAGAAAATAATTTTATTTTGTCTACTTAGAACTACTCAATTGAAATCAGCCCCCTCCCACTTTCTCAGGCTATGTGGCAGCGTGGAAAACGGCTGACAGGCGTCCCCCCTTGAGAAGTTCACCTCCTAAAAGAGAGAATAAACATGGCTTCCAAAGCTGACATGATGATTTCTTTCAACAACCAGTTCACCAAACTACTCAGAAAGTTAAACAACCGGTTCTCTCGAACTGTTGTGAACCGGCTGAATCCCACCACTGAAGCCGGCCCTCCGTATTAAATGCACCATCGGGCCTTATTTTCCGCCCTGATTTGGCAAGATCGGGGGTGGCCAGCGGACGGAGCTGAAAGCAGAGCAAATGTTGATCTCATTTTCAAAGCGGTGGGGAGCCTAATCAGACCATCAAACATGTAGGAGGCCCATAACCTTGCAAAAATAATCAAAGCACCCACTTTGCATTGTTCTTTTTCACCCACAACAAGGCGATGCCCCGATAACAGCAGGACAAAAAAACACGTACACCTGTAGGAAAAAAAAGGAGAAAAAAAAAAGAAAAACACGCCCGCTCGTATCCTCAGAGAAAGGACACACCCTGAACACACCTAAGTACTGTACATCTAGGTTCAGCAGATGCAAACACAGATGCTCGCACAAACATGCACACACACACACACACATCGGCTTGTGTAATAATGGCTTTGAGGGGAATCCAGGTCAAAGTTTCGTCACCGCAGTTTCTTGGCCTCAGCTACCCCAGAAAGAAGGAGCAACCCAGGCCCACATCTGTCCTCAGGTACACCTCGGAGGAGGATCGCGGCAGGAGAGGGTTGAAGGAGGTGAAAGGCAGTGGGAAATTAACAACCAGCCTGGCTCCATCCAACAGATCTGGGAAAGTGTGTGTATGCGTGTGAGTGTGTGTGTGAGAGAGAGAGACAGAGACAGAGAGAGACAGAGAGAGTGAGAGAGAAAGAGACAGAGACGGAGATGGAGACAGAGAGTGACAGAGAGAGAGAGAGAGATGGAGATGGAGACAGACAGAGACGGAGAGAGAGACAAACAGAGACAAAGAGAGACAGAGAGAGAGAGAGAGACAGAGAGAAAGAGACAGAGATGGAGACGGAGATGGAGACAGAGAGTGACAAACACACAGAGAGAGAGAGACGGAGATGGAGACGGAGACAGAGACGGAGAGAGAGAGAGAGACAAACAGAGAGAGAGAGAGAGAAAGAGACAGAGACGGAGATGGAGACAGAGAGTGACAGAGACAGAGAGAGATGGAGATGGAGACGGAGTAGGAGACAGAGATGGAGACGGAGAGAGAGAGAGAGACAAACAGAGACACAGAGAGAGAGATAGACGGAGAGAGCTGGATAGAGAGAGAGAAAAAAAATTTGAAAATACAGGTGGTCCTCGACTTACGATCACAACTGAGCCCAAACATTTATGCTGCGAAGTGAGTTTTGCCCCGTTTTACAACCTTTCTTGCTGAAGTGGTTAAGCAAACCGTTGCAGTTGTGAAGTTAGTAACCCAGCTGTTGAGGGAATCTGGCTTCCACCTTGACTTCCCTTGCCAGAAGGCAGCAAAAAGCGGATCCCACGAGCCCAGGGACTCTGCGACGGTCATAAAATAGGAACCGATTGCCATGCATTCCCAATTTTTGATCGCCTGACCGTGGCGATGCTGTGAAGGCTGTAAAGGTGAAAATAACTTTTTCTTCTGTGGCGTCGTAACCCTGAGCGGTCACTGAATAAACTATCATAAGGCGAGGACTGGCTGGAATGGTGGCAAGGCTTGAAGAGATGGGCTAGTTGGAGAACCCATGGAGGGTCATCCTGCCCCAAAAGCCACTGGCGATTCAGTGCCAAGAGAGCTGAACTGGGTGCATGGATGCCCAGCGTTGACTCTCAAGCCAGATGTTCCACCATCCGCCAGAGGTGATGTCAGCGCTTCGGGGTGGGACAGGTTGGGAATCAGACCCTATTTGGGGACAGAACCACAGAATCTTGAAAGCTTGGCAGAGATTCCCTTTCCCTCGACCGGCTTCACCTCGGATACCCAAAAGTGGATCAAGGGAGAGGAGCCTTGAGTTTCTTTCTCACACCCTCTTCCTTCCGGAGCTCAGCTGATGTTTACTAAGGGCTGCTGAATTCCTTCTTCAGGGCCATCTTCCTACAGGTAGTAGGAGGCCTCATATTCTCAGTCTTCCGTCCGTCCTCCCTCCACCCTCTCCTCTTTCGGCGCAACAGAAAACCCCCTAAGTAGATTTCCCTTCACATTTGGCACCTCGGATTTGAGAATATACTTTTTTCCTCCCCTCCGGAGGCTGAGCCTTTTTTAAAAAGTTTTCAAAATTACGACGGGTTTAAAAAGCAACAAACTGTTGTTGGAAGGCCACCCTTTGCACAACAGGTTGAATGGAGGGGGGAAAGGAACCTGCCCCGCGAGAGTCTTTTATCTTTCAAAATTCGGCATCAAGACGAACGAACCAGAGCACCAGAGGGAAGGCAGGGAAGCAACTGTTCACGGAGGCCAAAAAAATAAAAATAAAAACCAAGCTAGGCCTTATCTGAAATACAATTAAGTCTCATCCTCTTTGCTGG